TTCGACCCCCAAAGGGGTCCCGACTCACAGGTTGAGAACCGCTGCTCTAAGGAGCATGCTGGCTGTACTTCTTCTAAGACAGACTTGATTGTTCTCTTGGCAGTTCATGGTCCTTTCAATATTATTCCCTGCACCATAGTTCAAATGCATCAATTTTTCTTCAGTTCAATGTCCAACTTTCGCATGCACAGGAGACCATTGAAAATAGCATGGCTGGGGTTAGATGTACCTTAGTCCTCAAAATAACATCCTTGTTTTTTGACATCTTAAAGAGGTTTTGTGCAGCAGATTTACCTAATGTCATGCATTACTTGATCTCTTGACTACTGTTTCCATGAGCATTGATTGTGGATCCAAGCAAGTTGAAATCCTTGACAACGTCAATCTTTTCTCCATTTATCATGATGTCACCTATTGGTCCAGTTGTGAGGATTTTGTTTGTTTTACATTGAGTTGTGATCCATACTGAAGGCTGCAGTCCTTGATCTTTATCAGCAAGTGCTTCATGTGCTCACTTTCAGCAAGCCAGCTTCTGTCATCTGCATATCAGGTTGTTGATAAGCTTCCTCCAGTCCTGATGCCTTCATATGATCCAGCTTCTCTGATTTTTCTCAGCATACAGATTGAATAAGTATAGTGAGGATACAATCTTGACACACTTTTTCTGATTTTAAACGATGCAGTACCTTGTTATTTCACACAACTGCCTCTTGGTCCATGTACAAGTTCCACATAAGCACAATTAAATGTTCTAGAATTCCCAATCTTCTCTATGCACAGTTTGTTACCCTGTTTCCCTGAAAGTAAGACATCTCCCAAAAATAAGACCTACTCACAGTTTTGCCTCTTGTTGAAATATAAGGCACCCCCCGAAAATAAGACCTCCCTGAAAATAAGGCCCCCCAAAGCTACCGTAACTCTGGACTCTGGACCGAAGCTGTGGACGCCGGAGCAGACAGGAAGTGCGAGGTTTCTTTTAATAAGACAATAAACAATACATGTGTACCGTACTCTTCATGGAAAAAAATTAAGACATCCCCTGAAAATAAGACCTACCACGTTCTTTGGGAGCAAAAATTAATATAAGACACTGTCTTATTTTCGGGGAAACGGTATAATCCATAGTC